TACCTATATGGTTACACAATATAAAATTATTCAGCAAACTTGCTAATGGCTTTACAGACCGAAAGAGAGTTGATTGAGTAATCTACACTTTAGTAAGTATAGGTTTAATGAAAACATGCAGTTTAAATCTTTTTGATAAGAGCAAGATCAGGTGGGGAAAATGACAGATTGCATTTTACACTATTTATTGTCCCACGCGAAAGGAACTTACTAGCACTATCCTTTGAACGTATATAGATTGTAATACTCAATGCGTTTATCTATGCTATAGCAAAATGTAGAGAAAGTTCTTGAAAAGTGTCGTGCTGTACTTCATATGATTTTAACCTAAATCAACTGCAAAATAGGATATGACGTACATAGCGAGGTACAGCGAAGCTGATTGAATACTTTGTAGAAAGTTTGTTTTCAAACGTTTTTCCTTTGTCTTATTGTACTTTCCGAATGATTCATTCATTGTGTAGTATGCAAGTGCAAGAGTACGTGTAGCGTGAAATTTAATAAAATATCCTCTTTCAAGCTTGCATATCCGGAAACACGTATGCGAAGGAATAGCCTACTCGTTTGGTTTCATTTTGCAATACAAGTATATATTGATTTTTTCTCAGAAAATATCGTCGATTCAACTTTAGTCATATCTATCATCTACGTCCCATTCGGAATACAACATTGGTTAAACGAAATATGAGGATGATTCAGACAATGATGATGATACTAGTGATAATCAACAATATGGCGAAGAAAATAATCAAAAACGATAGCAATAGCGCCGAATGATTTGTCAAAAGCGACTGCATTCGTTGAGAGAGACTTCGTAAGAGAATCAGGTATAAGAAAAATCAAGAGTCGATACTATTCGTGAAAGATAACATCTCATTTATATGATCTCATCTGAAAGAGCATACAAGATTATGTTGACACACAAATTTTGAGTCGAGAATTTTTTCTCTCCTCTCAAGCGTCAATAATTTTCCAAAAAACGCCAGTTTTGTGTTTTGGTGAAGTTAATTTTTTCGTACCGTACCTTAAATTTTTTAATTACATACACCATATTTTCCAGTCCCAAAATGTAATGTCTGGACAGGAAAAACTTGAAATTTTCAAAAAGTTTAAATAAATTCGATCTGGTTTGTAAGTATATGATTGTCCAGCTCATATGAACTTTTCAGCGAAGTAATAGGCATCCAAAATGATTGAACTTGAAGGGATTTGTTACGTAGTGTTTCTACTAATGAGAAATAGGTGAAATTTTTCAACTAACGAGGGAACCTTTTTAAGCGATACGCTCCGATTCGGTTCGTTCGCACGTCATTCGATAAAGGGTAGTAGGGTAGTAAAAAGCCTAAAACATTAGCGGCCCCTTTGGCTTCTTTCAAAAGTTATAGTGATTTGTCTATCATTCCCAGCCAAAATCGCAAGTCAATTAAAAATTCATAACTCTAGCAAATGAACTTCTGTGGACCTGAGATTTACAGCATAAATAGCCCACAATGTCAGCTAAACAGCACCAAAAGTTCAAATTGCTGTGACGTAATAATTTCGAAATATAATTGGAAATAAGACGGGAGACGTTATGTGGATTAATCATTTTCGATACAGTGTCTGAAGAAAACAGACGCACATGAGTTACAAGGAAAAATTAACCGTCTGGAAACTTCGTACCTACAGTGGTTTTTCCTAAATTATATGTCGTATCTTCGTGAGTACAACGTGAGAACCATTGAACATAAGGTCTAAGAAAAATAAGGCTAGTAAGTCATCTAAAAGACACAAAACGAGGAAATGTTAACTCAGAAAAGCCTATTTTTTAACGGATAAAAAGGTAAACTCGTAATTTGGGAAGTATACATCACAGCAATTTGAAATTTTGGTGCTGTTTAGCTGACATTGTGGACTATTTATGTTGTAAATTTCAGGTCCGCTGAAGTTCATTTGCTAGAGTTATGAATTTTTAATTGACTCGCGATTTTGGCTGGGAATGATAGACAAATCACTATAACTTTTGAAAGAAGCCAAAGGGGCCGCTAATATTTTAGGCTTTTTACTACCCTACTACCCTCTATCGAATGATGTGCGAACGAACCGAATCGGAGCGTATCATTTAAAAAAGTTCCCTCGTAAGCGTTTAAATTTCATGTTTAAAATAGAATTAAAACTTAATCAGTTCTGAATAAATAAACTACTGATTTGACTTCGCTTCACTATGTTGATGATTTTGCAAATGTTTGACACTTAATGTTTCGATTATCAAAAAATTTCTGTAATCTTTTAGTCTAACCAAATTATTCTCCATCGCTTTTCAATATACTACCACTTGTTCATCTTCAAGCTACTGGTTTACTAAACTTTTTAAGTACTACAACAAAACAAACATTTTCAATTCAACACTCACTCAATTGCACATTATCCAGTGCCACTAACTCATCATTTGTCACTACTGTTACAGTCAAAACGTCAGAACAATATCCAAGGGGGAAACAGCGTACTTTAATCCTTTGAGGACGGATGGGTCATTTTTGGGCCATCTATTTACCAGTAGAGAAAAAGTGTTTAGTTCACATTAATCGATTAAATATGTAAGGTTATTAAGGTCATAAACAACTATATTTGTCATCTCATACTTTTCTTTCTTTCCTTCTCTCATATAAATTCTTTTTAAATATCCATTATTGTTTGCTTTACCTGCAAATTGCCATTTTGTTTAAAAGATGAAAAAAATTGTTTTTTTGATTATCATAAGATTTTTATGTAGCCACTTTGAGTTAAAATAAAATAAAACGGTTGAAAAATGCTTTTTCCATTAAAAAAAAATTCTATTCTCAAAGGGTTAAGGCGTAAAGTACGGCAAAGTACAAAAGTAGTTTGAAGTATGAAGCAGCTCAAAGTATGTAGAAGTAGCAGAAAGTGGCACAAAGTAGCTCGAAGTAGGAAAATAGTTTAAAGTAGCTCAAAATACAAAAGTAGTTCAAAGTAGCAAAAAGTAATTTCAAGTACAAAGTAGTGCGGGGTACAAAAGTAGCTCAAAGTATGTAGAAGTAGCACAAAGCACTTCAAAGTAGCTCGAAGTAGTACAAAGTAGCTGAAAGTAGCCTCAAGTAGTTAAAGTAGCTTGAAATAGTTAAAATAGGTTGAAGTAGCGTAAAGTAGTCTAAGGTAGCTTAGAGTAGCTGAAAGTAGTTGAAAGTAGCTCAAATTTACTTCAAGTACAAAAGTACGCTGTTTTCCCTTGACAATATCACAAGAACCCTCCATGACTCACCAGCGGACCTAGAGAAATTTTTCGGTGAATGCATATTTTCAGAAAATTAATCAGTATGTAGGATTTTTGTGAGACTATTCTGAGAAACTAGTGCAACATGACCAAACATTTTTATACTGTTTTCCCAATACCACACGACCATTAGAATCCGTTGAATAAAATTTTTCTACTTAGCTGCCTATGCTGTTTCTGTTTTACTGATAAAAAGATCCATAAGAATGGTGACTAGAGAGTTGGTTTTTCAAACACAAAAAAACTTTATATCACAACTTAACGACCGCCGCGCGTTTGACCCACTTTAAACATCAAGTTCATAAGCATCATGCAAGTGTTAAATAAAACGTTTCTTTGATCGACGTCTCCTCGCAACGATCCAAGATTTATCGTTATTCACACGAATTGTATAAGTAACAAAGAAGAGAAGCACAACTGTCTCTAAGAAAGTAGAAGAGCCAGCTCAATTGGTTAAAAAGTAGAAAATCAATTTCAGTTTTGTGATTTCATTTTGCACTCCTCAAAAATACTCACCAGAATCATTCATTCAAGTAGTGGGTATTGTAATTACTTTTAAAGCGCACTTTCTATCGTTTTCGGATTTACTATAGCTCTGTTCATTATACGTCTTTCTCTAAAAATTCATCTTCTACTATTTTGTCGGTAATTCTTTCAATTTCTTTATATAAAGAGTGGGCTAGAATTGCTGAAACGCTTCAGCAGTGATTAGTTAATTCGTTTCAGTAATTCTGGTCCCACCTTTATGTAACATGTCAATGATTTATATAACCATTGGCTTACCCTTTGTGTTATTTATAAACGAAGAGCTAGATATAACGTCTACAAAACAGATACTTTATTTAAATGTTTTTGAAAATGAAAATTACAAACTTAAATATGTGATGTTAGAAAAGCACAACATTAAAGATAAGCGCAATAAAGAAAACTTAGCTACACATAGTTTTTATGCTACTGAGTACAAAAAAAATGTAACTACAGACGTTCTGTGTTTTCCTACTACAAAAGCCGTAAATGAAATGTATGTACACACAAAAAGAGTTCATAATTTACAAGAAAAAGATTTTGTCGTTACGAGTTTCATTTTGTTTTTCAATAAGACAAAGTGAGACAAATTACTCCCCCCAAAAAAAGAAATTAGAATCAGTAACTTCAAAATCTAATGAACGTATACTATAAAACTAACTTTACAGCTAATAAAATCCAATGAGAAAAAAAGCCAGTCGTTTAGAATTAAATGACTGTTCAAACAAAAATGAAAGTTGAAAAAATCATCCGATAAAGATTATAATAATAGAGCAAAATGAATATACAACAATAGGTGAAAAACAGAAAGATACTGCTCTTGTAGTCAGATCAGTATAACATTGGATAATCTTTGAACTTCTCAAAGATCAAGCACGTGATTTCAACGTATTTTTGACATTTAAAGTTTTCTCTGCAACTGTCATCACAAAAAAAAAAATCCAATGAATCTTAATTTATTACTCTGACGTAGATTAGCAAATTTAAAGAGTATTCGGACAAGAATACGTTTAAATAGTTGGTAATACAATGTAACTATCTAAATAAAAAACTTGTGCAAAAAAACATGTCGTTGTTAGATTTTGAAAAATGTTTGAATAAAATATTCAAACGCAAAAATGGTGCACTTTATTTGTATTTACTACAAATACTAATACTATTTTATGTTTGATTTAAGGTTTATGCGACGAACCAAGAATTGTTATTATCGAGCTTTTGGTTTATTCATCATTTGTCGTTGTTTTAAATCCGTCATACAATTAATTATATCGGCATTAAATGAATCATCATCGGTATCACTATAATCACTATAATTTTCTTCATCATCTTCATCAACTTGATTTGATATTTTTGAATTATCATCGGTTGGTTCTTCTTCAACAACATAATCATCTTCATTGTCTTCTCCATAATCGTATTCATCTGGATAATCATATATTTCATCAGTCAATTTTTGCTGTTGAATCTGTTCGTCTGGAAATGTTGATAACGGAATATTTGATGATATACTAGTTTGTGGTGGTTGAGAAAACATTGGCAACTGTTGTAGAGCAGATGTATACGAAAAAGGATTTTCAGTAATGATAGAACTCATATAAGATGATACCTAAAAATATAAAAGATAATTTAAGTAAATGATTTCAAACAAAATTTTTTTGTTTTCTATTTGAAAACAGAGTCTTACATTCTTATTACTATTGGTATGTTGTGTCAAATCGGCTAACATTTGATTTGTTTGTATTTGACATTGATTTAAAGCATTAAAATTATCTTGTAATTGCACCTTTTGTGAATAATCTGTTGTCAAATTAACATGTTGTTGTTCATCATGTTTTGGTTGAGTAAATGGTTGTGCATCAAATGGTGTTGGAAAATTTTGAATTTTTTTCACATTTGAATAGACCATATCATATGTTACACGATTTAATTTTTCCAATCGATCCTTCAAAGAAATATATCTTTAATTTAACCCTTTTAAAGCCCAATGTCCATTTGAATGAACATTGCCATTATCATTATAACAAACTAAGGAAGCATTGTTGAAAAAAACTGATCTTATATCGTTTGTAGAGAATTAAATTGGTTATCGAATGGTAAAAGAAAAATTTGTTTATGTTGTATGCTAGCTGAGATATTCAAATTTTAAAATGAAGAAAATTTAGAAAAAATTCACTTTTTTTAAATTTACTTTTTTCAGACAATTTAGAAAGGCTGTTTGTTCAATGACTTTTCAGAAATATGTAGGGAGATGTGCTCTTTCAAATTATGTCAGCTGAATAAATTATTGTTGGAAACTGTAGGGTGCTGATAGTACAAAACGAAAGGACATATTTTGCTGGACTTTCGGGCTCCGTTTCTTGATCGTTCTTGATTTTCTTCACCATCTCAGCTCATTTTCTGTCTTAACTTCATCAAACATAATGGTCTAAGCTTAGATACCTTTGGTCTTTGGTTTCTAACGAGAATTTTCAAAAAAATAATTTTCTTCAAATTTTCATTGTAAATTTAAATTATAAAAGCTTCACTTTTTTAAAAATGAAAAATAATGTTCTCTGAGCGTGAGAAAGTCATATCGAGGTCTCATATGTTCGGTTTTCATAAGCAGTTGACCCAAAACCAAGCGTTGAAGCCTTGGGGACTTAAAGGGTTAAAAGAAAAAATATAAATAAATAAATATTTTTTACCCTTATTGTATTGATATCATATTGAATTAGTTCATTACTTTTACAAAATTTATTTATCCATTGATTAACATCTGCCATATGATTAAAAATTAAATCAACAAATGGAAGTGAACAAGATTGAACCTGTTCATTATCTTCTTCGCCCGTTTCATTAATCGATGAACGAGTTGTTTGATCATCAGTCACCGTATCATGCTTCTCTTCAATTTTCATTTCACTTATTGGCGGTATAAAAGAGTTATTTTTCTAAACAAAAATAAATTCCAAAAACATATAACTCTAAACAATATTATTGTCGATCTTCCACTTACTTCCTCTTTATTCGCATCTGTGACATCCTCATTCACCTTTGTTTCGACAACAGGACTTATTATCGATTGCATAAACGAATCTAAAAAATAAGATGAGTACATGAGTACAAGAAATTTTCTTATTTTTCTGCGTGTAAGCATACTTTCATTCTTGATCGATGTTGGACTAGATGTTCGTGGTTGATATTCTTCTTCAGGCTAAAAGGGAAGAAAAATAATCAATCACAAACTACTGATAGATAGTTGAATACGCAATGAAATGAACAAGTGTACCTCAATTGAGACAATGTTTCGTTGTAAATCATTACATTGTTCTAACAGTTCATTTGTATTTTTCATTTCATCTATAAGATTTTTATTCAAAAAAGTAAATAATTGATGATTTTTCACATTCGATGTTTTGTTTGAAAATTCCATTGTTTTCCTGAAGAATAAAACCACCAAATGTAGATTATAATAGATAATTGGTATATTTTAACTTACTTTGGCCAGGTATTCATTATTGATTTTGCTACAGATAAATAACGATTAGCATATTGTTGATAGGACCATGAAGTACGATGAGCCTGTTTTGAATTTAAAATTTGTGCCTATATTGGAAGAAAAACTAAGCTATTGTTGAGTTAATATAACGTAGAGACAAAACTACGCACTGTCGTCAATAATAATCGTGCAGTTTTCAAAATAATCGGTAGTGGTGGCAGATTATGTTGATCACCATTCAAACGGATGATACTCAAACCATCAGAAAAAGATTGTTGAACATCAGTCGTTAAACTTAAAGAAAAAAAGATAACAAAAATATACTGTTTCTTTCAGCATAAAACTGTGTTGAAAACTGCATGTATACTACAAACATAAATCTCACCTTTTATCTGTTTCAACATGTTCGTGATTTATATTAGCAATTGACCACCAATTTGCCTGTTCTTTTGAACATAATTGAAGTGTATAAAGATGATAAGGATTAACTCCATCTTTAACGTGTAATATTTGATATGAACAAAAAATTAAAAATATCTGCAAATAAAAACAAAACGTCTAATAGAATTATCAAAATGCGTAATCATTAAATATATTTTTTACAAGAAGATCAATTTCATTCAATGATTCAATATTATTTTGTTCAAGATCGACTGTATTCGACGATAATGTTGCCAACTGTTTTGATGTAAAGTAATATTTTAATGCTAAAAATATAAATCAAATATTTAAACATTGCTATTAATAAATCATTTAGTAATCATGATAAGGTGTAAAATTCAACTTGGTAGTGAATAATCTTACTTTCAAGTGATACATTGTCTTGTTTAACCATACAACATAAAATCCAGATAAAATAATTTAATTTCCATGTATCATCATTCACTGAAAAAAGCAAAATAAACAATAATTCTACTTATTTTATTTCATTTATTTTTACATACAGTGATTAAGTGTTTTCATAATTCCCATTTGTATAAGATTTTGTTCAATATCCTCTTTTTTTGTTTTACTAAATAAAACTTCATTTATTAATACAAAACCACTGACTGTTTCATTTTCATTTTTCAAAAATTCTTCGTCGATAAATTGAAGAAAATTTCGACGTTGGACAGTTTGAAATAATTGATCAGCTATAACGGAAATCTAAAACAAGAAGGTTATTTGATTTTTTAAGTTTTTTCAAGGATGGAAATGAATAATTAGTCTATTTTTCTCTAACTATTATTGCTCTTACATATCTTGAATAATTTTCTTGAATATCATTTATTTTCACATCAGATATTGTTTTAGTCCATTCACCTAAAAGGTATTATCTCAAATTATACATGCACAATCAAAAACTAAATAAGTAAAACTCACTCGTAATAAATAAACGTTTCAAATATCGATCATACATTGAACGTAAACATTGTTGCTGTTGATGAGATTGATCTAAGTGACAGGTTTTGTTTTGAAGTAACAAGAAGAGTGTGGCGCAACCCATTAAACCATCATTAATCGATTGATGTCTCTATAAAAATATGTTCATCATTGACAACAGTTTGATAGTTTTTCAGTGATACTCACAATTGAATTTAGTTTTATTATAGCAATAGCCGAATACATTACAAGCTGACATTTTGCCTCATACAAATATTTATAATCTTCGCCATTTTCATTCCCAACAGATTTCCACGTAAACAGAAACTCACAAAAACTAAAACAAATCATGATTCTACTCTTTGTATAAAAGAAACCACTTAATTTACATTCAGATTTTAATAAAGTCAATTCTGTGTGAATGTGAATAAGCAAAAATAGATTTTAATTATATTATATTCTCCTTGAATTTTGGCTGACTGTTGAGTAGCAATACAATGTAGTTTAAATACATCGGGCCGAATGTAAATAAATTATGATTTCAAAATTGTCAGACATTAGTATGAACACTTACTCCGTCAATGCTTCATTCGTGACATCCCAATACGGTTCTCTTAGACTGTTTTCTAAACGTCTTAAAGCCACTTCCACAGCATAACTGAAAGTAAGATTTGATTTATGATTTAATTTCTAAATTGAGAAAAAACATTTTTTCTATGAAAGGATGTATGAAGCATTATTTGCGTATTCAATCACACCAGCAATGTCTGAAATGTCTTTTTGTTCCATTCGATTGAATTGTAATTGTCCTTTTTATCAATATCTTCAAATAACCCCAAATTTTCATTATATTCGTTCATTTTTTATTCTTGCGTGAACATTTTTTGAAGTGAGGTAGTCTAAAACATGAAGAAGAATACTTTATGATACCAGAGTAATACATCTAACGTACAGTGTCTAATCACTTTACGGTCTATGACAACAACTTAAAAATTAAAGTCAATATTGGTTTATTTAAGCATGTCATTTTATGACATTAACTCAAAACAGCTCTAGAGGACTCTTAAGCCAATGCTTGGTGTTTCTACAGAATGCTTACTCTCACTCTCACACATACCTACAGTATACGATGTGTTTATTGTGTACAAGTGCCAAATGCTCAACTTAAGACCATCGTTAATGGAGCTAAGCCAAACATCGGTCAACAGAAAGAGTTAAGTCGATATTTAGGATTTCTGATGAAACACCAAGAATTAGATCAACCCTTAACTAAGATTAAGTGTAATGGTAATACTAGTAGTATTACCATTCAGGAAAAGTGAGTAATACTACTACACTTAATCTTAGTTAAGATTAAGTGCTCACTTAAGATTATGTGCTAATAAGAATATCAATGAAACAACATTCATAAGATGAAGATTCACATGAAGTTTTAACATAAATGAAATGAAATTGTTATGAGAAGATCAGCCGATACAGGACGCGGTGCCATTAGGCATTCCGTCACGTGCAGAATCTTAATGGTCCCAAAGAGCATTCAATCAGTGAACCCAAATGAGTTAGTGCGATGTCGCACTCGAGCAACCCATTAGATTTTTGCTTTACGTTTCTCTAGTATATTTTTCGATTCATCATCACATATAAGTATGAAATTTTTCACGCTAAGAATAAATTGGAAGTTTTTCCTTTCCTAGACATAGCTATACAACAATAGGCCTTCACGATCACGCGTACACACATATAATCCTGTGTTCTCACTAGTACGGGCTCGTACTTTTGAAGGAAAAAAATGATTTTTGCCTAGCAGAACTGCCGCATAAAATTGTGTTTCTACGGCGACCGCACGCACTTCATACTTTTCTTGCCTACTGCGTGTACCGTAGAAAAATTATAATAAGCCAGTGTATATTCTGATGATGTCTGTGACTGTCATATACAAAGAAGTGTGCGAAAAATATACGCAGTATTTCAAAATATCTTATCCGGATTTCTTCAAGATCTGGGTTACAAAAAATTTCACTAGGAATTACTTTTTTGCCCAAGATGGACGGAGAATTAATTCAGAATAAGTCATATTCTGAAAGTAATCCGATGACTTGTTACCGACAATCGCTGTCAACGTATTTGGATAAATCCATCTGAAGTGTCCCACATTTTACAAAAGTTTTTCCGCTTCATTTAAAACCAATCTAGTTTTATAGAGCGCATCAAGTTACGTAACAAGCTGTCTTTTCTGACTTCATAACTGATGCAGAACCCGACGAAAATGACTTTTACTCTTTTAGCAAAATTATCGGATTCGGCGCCACTCTCAGTGCGAATTGATCAGTACCGCGATGAATTTTACATGTTCTCCCTTTTTTCGACAAACCACTTAAGGTTATTATTATAGAGTGGGACATGAACTATATTCTCTACAACTTTGAAGAATGTTCCATGTAAGGTTCACGAGATATTAAACTTTTAAAAATGAAGTATGTTTGAGTATTATCTCAGTATTTTAAACGTTGGTTCTGATAAAACCACCTTCCTATAGATTTTCTTGCATTCTCAGTTCGATTATGATGATAAAAACCTGCTTTCCAAATTTTTATATGGTATCCAGGACGTCGAAAACGGTGTAATTAATTGCCAATTAAATGCCATTTAATAAGCTGTTAATAAGCATTTAAATGGCTTTTTTATGACATTTGACCCCGTTTTTTGCCATTATAACTGGAAACGTTTAAATGCATTTATTTCGCATTTTTTTAAATGTCAAAAAATGGTCAGATAACAGGCATTTAACTGCTGCCAGTAACCCTACTGGTCACATTTTTTTGCCATTTAAATATCAATTGTTAGACCGTTAGAAAATGTCAAAAAAATATCTTCTGAACCTGAGGTACTATCA